CAATTCCTTCCGACATAAACTGGGACCCGGCCGCCATTTTAGAAAGGCATTCATACAAGCCAGCACTGCGCTAAACCCTCCAAGAGGCATGTTGTTCTCTCCTCTCTAGCAAAGGGAGGATCAAGGAACAGTTTTCTTTTAAAAAAAAAAAAAAAAGCTGGGCTGCCAAACGATGAATCAGGCTCTATGTTGCTAATCACAGCAAGTACTACGAGACATTCTGCGTGTGCGCCTGTGTGGTACATGCATGCATTCCTCAGACACCAGTCAAACACACAAGCAACAACAACAAAAAGAAAAAACAACACAAAGGAAAACCGCCAGGAAAGGACCACCTCAGCTCCCACGCAAGGCTTATTTTGCATATGGGAACTTTAAAACCATTTTCCTATCTCCTAGATAATAACACCAGAATAAAAATCCACTTCTGATTTTGTAACCTGCATGCCCTAACTCTGAATTATAGGGGGGGAGGGGGAAGAATAATGGGAAGCATCCGTTCTAATGTAGCATTAAATGACATCTTTGGCACAAAATAAAAATGTATCCTGATCATCAACAAACAAGCCACCATAAAGGGTAATTTCACTGTCTCTTTCCCCAGATTCACCAATCAAGCTTGTTCCCCCATGAGGTAACCATGCAAGTCTATTTTTCCCATGATGACTCATTAGGTACGCTCCATAATCTTCCTAAACAGTAGGAAGAAAATTACAAGAAAACTTGCAATCCTCTTAAGTCTTTCACTGAAAATAACTTCAGCTGGCCCAGATAGGGGTCAAGAATGATGCACGTCAGTATTCCTTGACAATGCCATAATAGGCAAGACCAGAAATAATTATTTACGACAGATGTTTCTGCAACTGTATCTAGTATGTGTCCATCACCACACAAAAGCCATCTCATGTAAGCACCATGCTAGTGCTATTCGGCTACATGCATTTTGTCCAAAATGTTTCTCACTGGGTGATTTTTAAAAGGCAAAACATGTTTACAGCCAGAAAATATATCACGAATGCAAATAAGCTATGGTTTAGTATTAGGCCATCCCGGAAATGTTCCACAGCAACAGAACAAAAGGAAGTTGGATTCAAAAATGATTTCAGTGCTCTCTAGTCGCTCAAAGTGGTGCCTAAATATCCATTTTCGTTATTTCTTTCATAATCCCTTAAGAATAAGAAAACAAAGAACCTCAAAATTGCAGAGGTCAATCGCCAGCTCGCGTGGGAAAAAAAAAAATTCAAGCAGTTCGTAGTCCGGGATCAAGAGTATGGAAAGGGGGAAAAAAAAAATAAGAAATTTTGTTTAGCACAGCTTAGGGTAAAAGTGGTTTCCATCACAACAGGTTCTTTCAAAATTCCAGTTCACGACAGGAAGGCCAGTGCAGCACCTCTCTCCCATCCATCTGCAAAAGGTCTCTAGAGGTGAAGGCTGCACCTTCTGGAAGTTTTTTTTTTTTTTTGTCCAGGCTTCCCACAAATGCTCAATGCAGAAAGAAGTCCAGCAGCCTTTCTGAAGAACAAAGCAGCAGCAAACAGCATGGTTGGGGCTTCTTCTCCAGAGGTGCAGTCGAAGGAGGGGGGGTGGGTGGGGGGGAGGCTGCAGAAGCCGCCAGATGGTCCTGATGACAGGTTGTCCAGACTGTCTCTTCTCGGGCGGGCTCCGAGAGGCCCTCTTAAATCCTGGGCCTCGACCCCTTTTCGCGTACACAGCGGCCTCCTCCTCCTCCGAAGAGGCTCCCCTTTACCTGTCGCACCTGGGAATCCCACGGAGGGGGCGGCGTGGGCGCGGAGGGGCTGTCCGCCCTCCCGGAGGGTAAGTGGCGGGTTTCCACCGACCCGATGACGGACCCCACCACCACCCGCTTTCCCCGGAGCAAAAGGCCTCTGGGTCACCGGCCGCTTGGAAAGGCCTCCCCCGGCTTGCTCCAATCCCACCCCCCCCCCCCCCCCCCACTCTCCTTCCGCCCCCCGGCGGCCCCGCTCACCGCTTGAAGTGCTCGATGATCTTCTCCTCGCGGACGTTCTCCGGCAGGTTGCCCACCCAGAGGTGCCTGGTCTCCCGGACCATGATGCTGCCCCCGGGAGACGGGGGGTCCTGGCGCCGCCCGCCTGCCGCCGCCGCCGCCGCCGCTTCGGCTCGGCTCAGCGCCGCGAGGGGGAGCCGCCGCGCCTCCGCCGCCGCCGCGCCCGGCCCGCTCTTCCTCCACCACCGCCGCCGCCGCCTCCCTCCGCGGCGCCGGTGGGAGACACCATCCCACCGGGCCCCGCCGCCGCCGCCGCCTTCTCCGCCGCCACTCCCGCGCCACTTGGCCCCTCGCCGCCGCCGCCGCCTCCTGCCGCCGCCGCTCCGGATGCTGCTGCTGCTGCGGGCGGCGATGCCGGTGATATTGAGGGGGCCGCCGCCGGCGCCGCCGCCTTGACTACCGTCGTTGTCGTCGTCGTCGTCCTCGTCGTGCGCGCGTCCTGCTCGGCGGCGGCGCTGTCGCTGCTTCAGCCCAATTTCTCCTCAGCAGCCGCAGCAGCGCCGCGCGCGGCGTCGCTCTCTCGTTCGCTCGGCCACCCGCACGGCGCCTGCGCACTCGGCCGCCACCGTAGCCAATCCGTCGCCGAGCGCCCGCCTCGCGCTCCAGGGCGCGCTGCCTATTGGGCGGAGGGAAGCGCGCGTCGGGCCGCGGGAAGAGGAGGGGGCAGCCAAAGGGAAGAGCGCGCGCAAGCGCTCTGGACACTTCTTTTTCTTCCAAGAGAACAGGACAGAAACTGCTCCAGAAGGCGGGGGGAGCCGTGAGAGAAACCTGTCCTCGATACGCCTCCCGGCGGCGAACGCGCACGCGCAGCACGCGTTCTCCGGCGGGTGCTTCCATCTGCGCGTGCGCGCTCCGTGGCATTCCCGCCGCCTCTCCTCAGCCGTCGAGGGAGAGGAGGGTTATCGGGTGTCATTCACAAGTTGTCCGCACTCACGTGTCCGCGTCCTCCATTATTACCTCGAAAGTCAGCTCCGGCCCCCTTTTAAGCCGTTCGCGGCCACCACCCGATCTCAGCCGACCCGGGCGCTCATGCTCCTCCAGCCCACTCCCCGATCCCCTGTTCTTCCCGAACTGTCTCCGCGACTCTCTCCCTCTTGGGACCGAGGACCTGACAGGCCCCCCGAGCGGCCTTTCCCCGGAAGGAAGTGGAGCACGCAGGCCCGACCGAGAAGATCCGCTGAGCGGCCTTGGCTCCGGGAAGGCCGCCCCGCCCTCGTGCTCGGGGGACGGCGCCATTTTGTCGCTCCTGCCTGGTCCGGCGGCCATTTTGTGACACCGGGGCGCCGCGGCTGCCCTTCTACGCGCGCCCACTAGGGGCGCTGTGCAACCCCCCCCTCCGGCTCCCCGTCCCGATCGGGAGCCCCGTTGAATCAAAAGGGGGGGGGGTTTTTGGGCCGGCCGCCTCGGCCCCCCCAGCAGGGCCCCCCCGATGCACCCCCCCCCAGCGAGCCCCGGGGATTGTGTGGAAGCGGGGAGGGGGGAAGAAACCCCCGAAAAAAAGGGTCCGTTTATTGAGGCTTCGGCGCTGGATGTCTTTTTTTTTTAAATAAAGCTTTTTATTCATTTCGGATCGGTTATTATTGCACGCCTCCTCCCGGATTCCCACCGGCGGAGGACAGGTCGAGCCAAGAGGCCACGCGGCCGGCCTCTGAATCCGAGAGATCTTGCGAGGAATTCCGCGGTCCTGCTCGGAGAACGTCGGGATGTCCGGAAAACACGCGTGGGGGGCTGTATACCCCCTTCGCCCCCCCCCGCCCCAAGAAGGGCACCACCTCCGCCTCAGTGATGTCCCGGTTGTCCTCAAAAGGCGGATCAGGATTTGGTTGTGTTTTTCCGCCTTGAAAGTGTTTTCGCTTCTCCTCCGAGAGCTGGGGAAGCTTCTGGGATGAGCAGCGAAACGTTTTCAAGGAGGGAGGGGGAAGAAAAAAAGAAAAAAAAACACACGCCAGGAAAAGTCCTTTTGCAAAAGCACCTCTGGGACCAAATGGCTTTAAACTACATTCCTGTGTCTGGCGGGGGGGGGGTGTGTCCTGGTCTGGTCTTCAGGGCCTCCTCGGAGGGGTGTCCGGCCGGGATGGGGAGAGGCTGCCTTGGCACCCGAGTACCAAGGAAAGTGGGGGGGCTCCTAGGACTGGAGCATCTCCCCCTCCAGCCGTGGCCCTGGACAGCGCTTGGGCAGTAGCCCGTGCCGGGGGTGGGGGGGAGAAAGGGGGCAGCCAGCTAAAATGGGGAGTCAAGTTGGGGACCCCTCTCCCTCCCCCACTCTTGGCCTGGCTGGCCAGGACTGACCAAAGCAAAGGGAAAGGCCCAAGAATCAAAAGGAAGAGCCCCCCCCCCAATTGTCTGTGGGGCAATGAGCTTTTCCCAGGACCCCCCCTCCCTCCCTCCTCCAAGGGGGCAGAGCTGCAGGCTCCCCAGTGTTTTAAGTCCTGCTTATATCTTTCTTGGACTTGGGCGGGGGTGGGGGGGGAGGTCCAGAGCTGGGCTGCCCCCTAGTGGAGGAGACCGGTACTAATGGGAACTGAAGTCCGCTGAAAACCACCCAGAAAAAGCCTTGTTCCTGGTCTCCTGGCTGCTGGGCTTGACTCAAAGGCGGGCTTCTTTGGGGGGGCTTCTTTGGGGGCACGGAGAGCGGGATGAGGGGCTGCGGGCTCAGAGCACTCTTGGCTCCCTCGCACCCACCCCCGGAGCAGCTGTGAACGGCCCACAACTACGCAGGTGCCACCTGGAAATTTGCAGCGTGGAGTCGGGCGGGGCTCCCTCTCCAGATCTTCTCTGTTGCCTTAGGCCAGGTGGTCCTGGAAGCCTGGGCTGCCCCTTGCCCCCCTTCCTCGGAGACAGAGCTTGGGGGGAAGCGGGGAGGGGACTTGCCGGCCAAGGGCTGAATTCGCTCTCTCCCCCTCCCCGGCTTTCCCGCAGGCCGAATCCCAGCGGCGCCTCCAGTGGCAAGAAAAACCGGACATAAGAAGTGGAGGTGGAGGAGCAAGGGCGTCTTTGGTCTGGTGTGGAAGAGTGGCAAAGCTCCTTCCAACAAGGAGGGGGTTGCTCTCAGTCCACTCCCCCCCGAGGAGGGAAGAAACGTGGCGAAATGGTCCACAGACACCACAAGGTGTAGAGAGAAGGGGCAGCTGGAACACCGGGACTAGCCTTCCTGGCCCCACTTCCGGGGGCGATCAGCATCCGCCGACTCCTCCCGGGGGGCACTGGATCTGCCAGGCGTGGCAGGCTTGGCAAAGGAGGCGGCTGCCAAGGGGGTAACACCCGTCCTCCGTGGGCTCCAGAGAGAGCAAGACCTGGCACTTCTAGGGGCCAAAAGAAACCAGCGTCAGCAGCAGCGCTACCTCCTCCAGTCCCCCGCAGGGGGTTGCTTTGAAGCCCTCATCTCCACTGCGGGGTGAGGGTGGGGGGGGGGCAGGGGTCCAGGGGAGGGGGGGGCGCACCTTCCCAGTCGCTGAAAACCCAGCTTGGAAGGGCTCCACACCTCAGGGCGGGGAGGGGGGGGGGGGGGGGGGTCCCGGGGCAAGAGAACCGGCATAGCCTCCGCGCGTCACGTGACCACGCTGGCTCCCTTGCTCGGGCCTCTCTAAGACCGCCCCCCCTCCTCAGCCCAGGTCCCCGGACCCACCTCACACCGATAGCAGTCCTCGTGGAAGCTCCTGCCCAGGCACTCGATCCTGTAGGCGTCCCTCCCGTCCTGCGGGATGATGGGCTCCTCGCAGACCCCGCAGACGGGAGCAAACCTCCTGGAAGGCAGGCAAGGAAGGCAGGCCGGTCACGCGGCAGCTCCCACTCCAACTTCCACCCACTGCCTTCTGTCCCCGCGCCCCTCCTGTGCAAAGCAATCCCCCCCTCCCTCCCTCCCACCAAAGGCGACGGTGCCGTACCGGTAAAAGTCCGGAAGGCAAAGCGCCCGCTGCTCGTCGTCCACAGCGAAGGCGTCGCTGCCAATCTGGCGGCTGCAGTCCACGCAGGTGAAGCATTCTGGGTGGTATCCCTTCCCCACCGCCCACACAATCTCGCTGAGGATGGAGGCTTGGCAGGCATCGCATTTCTCCAGGGTGGTCTGGGGTGGCAACGAGACCCAGGAAGGCAAGAGGTAGGCATGAGCTAAATCAGGGGGCTCCAACCATGGCAACTTTAAGCCTGGAGGACTTCAACTCCCAGAATTCCTCAGCCAGCAAAAAAGACCTGTGGACTTCAACTCCCAGAATTCCTCAGCCAGGAAAGCTTTGCTGGCTGAGGAATTCTGGGAGTTGAAGTCCTCCAGGCTTAAAGTTGCCACGGTTGGAGACCCCTGATCTAAAAGCATCTCTTTCTCCTCCTTTCTTCCTCCCGGTTGCCCAGGCCTTACCTGATAGCAGGCTACGCACAGCGGCCGGCCTTCTTTTTGGTAGTAGCGCTCCCCTGCAAGGCTGCTGTGACACACCCGGCAAGTGAAGCATCTGACGTGGTACTGCTTCCTCATGGCTTCCAGAGCGAGAGCACCGGGCGAAATGCCCTTATGACAGAAAGCGCAGATACCTAGGAAAGGAAGCAGGCCGGCGGGCGGCGGGGGGGGTCAGCTAAGGTCAAGCCGCCTCCCTGGAACCCCGAGCCCAGAGACCTCTCGGTGGGGGGGGCAGGGAGCAGCTTCCTCACCTGGCGCTGTGGCCTCCTCCTCCTCTTCCTCCTGTCCATCTGTCCAGCCGAGAGGCCAGGCCGCATGAGGCTCTCCCGCTTCAGGCGCCTGGAAAAGAGAAAAGAAGAGGCCCGGGTTAAGCCAAGCGCTTCGGAAAGCGGTCGAAAGAGTAGGAGACGCAGCGAAGGGTGGGGAGCTTTTTAATTAAAAGATTCCTTCCCCTTCGAGACTGAAGAAGTTTTTCTTGAGGGTTGTTTGCTTTTTCTGAAGTTGCACAGGGTGTGTGCGTATGTGTGTGTGTGTAAGCTGAAATGCAGCCTTGAGCCTCTCTAAATCGCCTCAAGGCCAGTTCTTGTCATTTTAAAAAGCCAGGCAAGATGTCTTCGGACGGCGTGATTAAAGAGAAGGTTTCTGGTGAAGGCTCCAAGGTATCTGCCAGGTGGCCATTACGTTGCATTAAAGAGTTTTGCGTCTACAGCCAGGCCTGTGTTTTAATGCTGCTCCCACAGCCCAGCTGACTGCTTCTCTGGTTCTCCCGCTGAGGGGGAAAGGACTTTGTCCCGCGGAAGAGGATTACCTGCAGGGAGGAGGGCAAGGCGGCGGCTCCCGTCGGCAGATCGGGGCCCAGGGTCTCCACCTGGAGGGCCGTGGGCTGCAGGGACCCCAGGACAGCCTCTACTGAGGGCTGAGGAGGGTCACCTGGAGGCGGCTGCAGGGCAGTAGGGTCTGCGGGAGAGAAGGAGCTTAGCGGGATCTGGGTTCTCCCGCTTCTGCCGCCCCCTCTGGGCGAGGGGAGCCCATCCGAAGGACGGCAGGGGGCCTCACCTGCACCCGGAGCGCTGCCGGGCCCCCTCCCCTCTTTACGAGGGACCGGCTTCTCGGTGGGAAGGTACAGGGGGGCCTTGGCGGGACCAGTGCAGCCCCTCCGGGGGGGCGCCAGGATGATGAACATGGAAGAGACCATGCGCTTCTTCTCCGTCTTGTCCGAGAGCATCCCTGCCTGAGAGCAAGGGAAGGAGGAAGAGGCCACTTCGGGGGGGGGGGGGCGGCGCCCCCCCCCCCCCAAACAAAAAAATCCCAGCAGAGAAAGCCACAAAAGGGGTGGAGGGAAACATTAAAGGTTGCAAAAAAAGCCCCCTCCCCCCCCACAGCTGATTCCCAGGCCTGAACCCCCTCCCCTTTTTCCTTCTGTGTCCAGAGCTTTTTGGGGGGGTTGCGGGGGGGGGCTGTCTCCTCCGAGGCTCCATGGGGGCCGGGAGATCCCTCGCGGAGAACAAGCGGCGCAAAGACCCCCACCCCCCCCCCCCCCCGGCCCCCGCCCCCCCCCCCCCCAAAAGCCCCCTGCCAGGAACGACCGGGCCCCCTAGACGCCCCCCAAATGCGCTCCCCGCTCGGCTGCCGGGGAAAAGTCGAGGCGGGACTTTTCGGGGGGAGGGGGGACGGGACCGCGCGGGGGTCCCCCTTTTTGCAAGAAGCGCTGCCCGGACACCCCACCCTTCTCTCTTGGGAAAGGAAAGTGGGGGCGGGCTACCCCCGGGAAAGGCTTTCCCGGAGCATCCCGTCCCCCGAAGCGAGGCCCGGGACGAGGGGGAGGAAGAGGTCCAGGCGCCCAGGCAAAGCGGGCGGCGGCGGCGGGTCGATCATCCCTGCCCCCCGCCCTCCACCTCACCTGGAAACGGGCAGCCGAGGCGGGCGGGCTGCTTCTCCTCCCTCCGGCCGTCGCTCGGCTCAGCACCTTCGCCTGCCTGCCTGCCTGCCTGCCGGGGGTCGAGCCGCCGCGCCCCGCCCAGCCGCCGCCGTTGTGGCCGTAAAAGGCGAGAGGGGCGTCTGCCAAAAGCGGCGCTTTCCTGTACCTGCCCGGCCCTCCCCGCGCGCCCCGTCTCGAACTCGCCGCGCCTTCCTTCCCTCTTCCCGTGGCTGGTAGGGACGAGGCAGCCTGTGCTTCCCCCCCTCCCCAAAAAAAACCCCCCCCCGGGCCGGCGGACCCCGCACCCCCCCCCCCGGCCGGCAGGCCCCGCCGTCCCCCTGGACACCTCCCCGGCGCGGGGGGGGGGGGCCCGGTTTCCCCCCCCCCCCCAGGCGGGATGTCTTCCCTTGGCCGCAGCCCGGGAGACCCCCCCACGCCGCAGCTTCCCAATAAAGAAGCCATTCAATCCGAGGAGCCCCCCTCCCCTCCCTTAGGCCCCCAGTCAGACGAACATCAAGGACACGTGAACCCGGCCAAGGAGCCAACCTGGAGGAAATCAACTCGGCCAAGCTCCTTCCTACTTTTACGGGGTGTGGGGTGGGGGGGCTTCCTTTGTCCTGTTTTTTTTTTTTTAATGGGTGGTAGGATTCCAAAAATTTTACTACCGGTTCTGTGGGCGTGGCTTGGCTTGGTGGGCGTGGCAGGGAAGGATATTGCAAAATCCCCCCTTCCCTCCCCACTCCCCCGCTAACCTGCTTTCCAGCTCCGTTCTCCTGGGCAGGGCAACCCAAGGAGACCCAGCCCATCAGCTGGGACTCAATGGGAGGCAGGGAATAAAGGGGGGGGGGGCAGTCAGAAGTGGGATTGGCCGGTTCTCCAAACGACTCCAAACTTTCTGCTACTGGTCGGAACCGGCTGAAGACCATCTCTGGGTTGACCCCTTGGAAAGAAACTTGAGAATGGGGGGTGAAGTGGGGGTTAGCTGCTGCCCCTCCCAGCTGCTTACCTCTCTTCCGCGGGGAGCATTTCAGTCCCACAAGCCGAGGCCCAGCAGAGTCAGCTCGTGCCCCGCTGCTTTTGCCAGCTGGATCCCGCTTATGCGCAGGGGATGCGGGACATCCCGTATCCAGACGGTGTGGCCTCGATCCTCACCGGTCTTCTGCTTGTCCGGCCCCGTCTTCCTGGCCGGGGATGCCCTTCCTGAAGCGGGCAGCTCGGCTCACGTTCTCTCTTGCAACGGCAAGACGGAGCCGCTGCCTTGGGGGAGATGAGCCAAGCTTTTCTATCTCAAGAGGGGGGGAGCAGAAGAGGAGGGTCCAGGCAGGGGTTTGCCCCCAAGGGTCAGAGGGCAGTGCAGGAGGAGGCCTCTCCCAGGAGGAGGGGGGGGGGCGCTGCAGCTCAGCCTCCCAGACTCTTCCTAGCGGCAGCCGCTTGGGAGGTTCTGAGTGACCTGAACCCAGCCGGCTCCCGCTGGCTTCTTGGGCCATGAAACGGAAGGCGGCTTTCTCAAGCCCCCCCACACACATCCCCATGCCCCCAATTCTATCTTTTAGCCCCCCGCTGGATGAGGTCTGACCTTGCAAACTGGCACGAGCCACCAAAATTGGCTCGAGGCTGCCACCTGCTGGACTCACGAGGAGCGGGAGGTGGATCTCCTCCCTGGTTAGGAGGATGGGCGTGCAAGACAAGTCGGTCGGTCACACCCTCTGGGGTCAGAGGTTAGCAATGAGGAAAGGAAACGGGGGCCCCTCCACTTTGGGGGTGGGGGCATCTTTGACAGGGGCAGCCTCTGCCTCGAGGGGTGGGCATTCCCCTCCTCCTGGAAGAGCAGAACCGCGTCCAAGAGGAGCCAGATTGGGGGCAGGGGAGCCACGTGGGGGGGGGGGGACGGGGGGGGGGGGAAGGCAGGACTTCTGGAAAGCAGCGGCTGTCAGAGCCCTCCGCCCATGAGTAAAAAAAATTTGATTCAAACCTGTAAAGAAGCTGTAAAATGTGCGGAATGGAGGAACTTAGAATTGGAAGGGACCTGGTAGGTCATCTAGTCCAACACACCCCCACCCAACCAGGAGACCCTACCGCATTTCTAACAAATGGCAGTCCAAGCTGTGTGTGTGTGTTGGGCCCGAAAAGGAGGGTGGGGTGCTTTAAGGAAAGCGCTGGAGAGACGGAAGGAGCGTGGAAGGAACAGACGGACGCAGGGCAGGAACCTTTCCCGCTCTGATATCCAGGAAGGGCTGACCGCCCCATCATCTCAGAAAGGCCCCGTTGAGTGGGGTGGGGGCGATAGGGCTTCAGCCCACTGCCAGCCACCCGGGGGAAAAAAACCCACCACAAGGGCTTGGAGCGCAGGGAAAGATCAATGAATAAAAGCAAACGCCTTAACAGGGCTTCGGATAACCCCCACGTCCCCTGAAACCCGCGCTGTGGGCTGAGAAGAGCTGCAGGCCGTCTTCCCGTTGTAGGAAGTTAAAACCCACCCCTCTCCTAGAGAAAAAATGAAATATCCTGGGAAATGTTAAAAAGGCAGAATATTTCCTCTAAAGAAAAACTCAAAAGCAGAAATTCACCCGCCCCACCTTTGTCAATGGGTGGGCCATTAAGGCCTGGGCCAGAATACTTTACATAACAAAGATCTCCAGGTAAAGCTATAGCAATTGCCCAAAGCCCTTTTCAGTGCATCATCATCCAGCCAGGCTCAACCAAGCCTGGAACTCAGGACAGCCTACAGAGTTGCAAAAGAGAAACTAACTGGCTTGCTTGAAGACCGGAGCTCTGCTCTGAACGCGCAACGTGTTTGTGTCTGAGTTTGCTCCGTGTTGGAGAAATCCACAACTGGTATTGTAAAATCTACTTATTGTGTTTACAAAGATGTTAAATGAAGCATCAGCCCTCTGTGTTTATTTTTCTGGCGTTGAATTAACGCTGCAAAACTCTGAAGGAAAGCCGCTTGAAGAGACGACAGAAGCGTTTGAAATGTGGATTTGACAGGCGGCTGTGACATATGGGTTGGGTTGAGAAAAAAAGAAAGAAGGAGGGCATCAGCCCCCCGGGAAAGCCAAGGGAAATCATCAAAACCATTAAAAAGCAAAAGTTAAGAATATTTTGGACCTGTGAATGTGACACCGGGAAAAATACGGCATCCATTATTTAATCATCCGGGGAAACACTGAAGGCAAATGAGGTCAGGGAGAAGAAGAACTGTATAAATATATAAGGTATATTTAAACCACTCCCAAATTAGTGAAAGTGGGGGTGGGAACCCATGTTTTATTTTGTGTGTAAAAGCTTGTATAAATCTCGAATTTATGGAAAGAATATGCGATGGAATTGCAAACTTGACAGGTAAAAGAATTAAAAGTTAACGTATGAAGATATGGGAATTATTAGTGACTTAAACAAGAAAAGAGTATTATGGAAAAGGTCATGTTTAAAAGAAATGATGATGTTTGAGAAATATTTGAAATAAATTGAAATGAACTGAGAAGATACTTAGAATGAAAGTAATATTAGTGAGCAGGATTAATTTTGTTCCTTTTCTGACGCAAACGTTGGAGAATTAAGTTAAAAATGGATAAGATAGGAAGTTCCGTGTAGAAAATGAACAGAGAATTATTGTCATATTTGCATGTAAAAGTGGTGATCCGGAATTATGTTGTACACCGAAATGAGCTCTTTTTTTATTTCTCTTTGTTTTGGAAAAATTGAATAAAACTTGTTTTAAAAAAAGTAAAAATCAAAGGGACCGGTTTGGACAAAACTCAGTAGCGCTTTTTCATGCGGCTATGGATAAAAAATAGGATCGCCCAACGTCCAATGACCCCGAGAAGGATAGGCCCCAAGAAGAAGGACCACTGACCACTGAAATAACTTTGCCTTCGTCGATTTCTCCCACTGGGGAAAACCTTGGCCAGGGGAAGAGAGAGCGGAACAGACAAAGATGAGAGCCAGGGACGAAGGCCCACCTGCCCGTTCCTGGGTGCGTGGAGGACGGGGCACCCAGAACCGGAGTGACTCCTACCCTCTCGGCCTTCCCCAGGGTAATGGCAGCCAGGTCTCCGGCGCCTCCCCTTAGCCCAAATGGACTCCCCCCTGGCCAGCCACCGATTGAAGCCTCTCCCAGCCCGACCCGTTTTGGCCTCTCTGCTGTCCCCAGGAAGGCAGACCGGAGATGGAATTGCGGTACCACTGCGCCCCACAAATCGTTATGACACCAAAGCCGGAGAGGCCCAGAAATGAGCCGGGCCTGCGGCTTGCCTGGCCACTAAAGGTCTCTAGGCTGGAGGCTCCTCATTTTCAGGACGTGGCCTCGGTCGCTGCTGCCGGAGATCGGGAGGGGTGATGCTCTCGGCGCTGGCCGCGAGGTGGACCGGACTTCGACGCAGAGAGCGAGAGGCTCTCGTCCTGAAATGGAAAGCAAAATGCAAAATGCACGGAGGGGCCGGCTTCTCCCCCCCACAGCGCCAGGGTTTGTAGCGCAGGGAGGGCCCTTGCTCTTACGCCCTGTCCGTCAGGACCTCCGGATGTTGGGGAGGGAGAGAAACCGCCTTGCTGAGCTGGTGAGCGCAGCGAGGGCCTGATCGCCCCGTTTAAAGGGAACTTCCCCAGAGGCCGACGGAGATGCAGTGGAGAGGCTGGGCTGCTCCTGCTTGCAGTCCGGCACCTTCCTCCTCCTCCTCCTCCTCCTCCTCCCCTTTTTCTTCTTATTCCTCCCCTCCTCCCTCTCTTCATCCTCTTCTTTCTCCCCCTCCCCAATATTCCTCCTCTTCCTCCCCCTCCTCTTCTTTTCTCTTCCTCAACTTCCCCCTTCCCTCCTCTTTTTCTTTCCCCTTTCTCCTCTTTTCTCTTCTTCTTCCTCCTCTTCCTCCTCCTCCTTCCTCCTCTTCTTCCACTTCCTCTTCCCCCCTCCTTATTGCCCCCTCTTCCTCTTCTTCCTTCTCTTCTTCCTCCTCCTCCCCATCTCTTCTTTCTCCTCTTCTTCCTCTTCCTCCTCCTCCTTCTCTTCTTCCTCCTCTTCCTTCTCTTCTTCCTTTTCCCCCTCCTCCTTCTCTTCCTCTTCCTCTTCCTTCTCTTCTCCCTCTTCCTCCTCCTCCTCCTCTTTTTCCTTTTCCCCCTCCTCCTTCTTCCTCCTCCTCTTCCTCTTCCTTCTCTTCTCCCTCTTCCTCCTCCCCTTCTCTTCTTCCTTTTCCCCATCCTCCTTTTCTTCTTCCTCCTCTTCCTTCTCTTCTCCCTCTTCCTCCTCCTCCTTCTCTTCTTCCTCCTCTTCCTCCTCACCTGCATCCTGCAAACCTCCAGCATGGACCCGCTCCGCATCAGGCACCAGATCTCCCCCGCCAGAGAGATGAGGATGTTCGCGATGTCCCTCCACTGGCCCACCGTCATCAACAAGACCAGGAGGCCACCCATCCTGACAAAGGCGGTCTGGAAAGCCATGTGCTGGTTGGGGTTGTGGTGCTGCTCCTCTGTCGGCCAAGCAGACGGAAGGAAGCGGGTTAGCTGGAGGAGCCGGGCGGCGCCGCCTTCCACCTGAGGGAGACTGGCCACTGCTCAGGAAGGACCCCCCCCCCCCCAACAACACTCCAGGGAGGGGAAGGCCAAGCAGGACCGGGGGTCTGCAGGCAGCCGTGCTTCCTACAGCATCCGGGACATCAGGCGCCACTCACCCTGCATGTAGATGATCAGAAGCGTGTAGCAGATGGTCAGCGGCGTCCAGAACCGGATGGCCTCGGTGGTGGAGAGGAAGTCCCGGTTGATCAGAGCCACGGCCGTCAAGTTGGCCACCCCGAAGGTCACCTGCAGGGCGCGGCAGAGCAGCCGGGGGATGCCATGCCATGTGGTGAGGAGGAAGAGGCAGCCCCCGCAGTAGCGCTCCTTGCAGTGCAGCTCGTACAGCGTGGAGACATGCCAGGCCAGGCGCCAGACGTAGTGAGTCAGGAGCGTGGCCAGCCCCACGGCCAGGAGGAGGTTCCAGGTGCGGTGAGGCGCTCCTTCCTGCAGGTAGCCGAGGCTGCAGGAGACGCCGCAGCCCAGCGAGTATTGGCAGAGCAGGTAGAGCTGGCTGCTCAGGGCCCCCTTTGAAACAAGCCTCTTTGTTACACAGACGCCTGCTTAGCCACCCACCTGCCAAGAATTCTGGGCACCACACACAATAAAACAGCAATAGCCTTTAGACTTATACGCCGCTTCACAATTCTTCCCAGCCCTCGCTAAGCGGTTTACAGAGTCAGCCTCCTGCCCCCAACAGTCTGGGTCCTCATTTGACCCACCTCGGAAGGATGGAAGGCTGAGTCGACCTTGAGGTGGTCAGGATCGAACTGATGGCATTGGGCAGAGCCAGTCTGCAATACTGTATTCTAACCACTGAACCCCCATGGTTCTTATGTAGCAATGGCACTAGCACAGACTTATACACCACTTATACACCACTGAGTCAACTAATGAGAATTGAACTGCTGGCAGTGAGCAGTTAGTCTGAAATACTGCATTCTAATAACTGCGCCACCACGGCTCTTGTAGCAATAGCACTTAAATTTATATACCACCTCACAGTGCTTCGCAGCCCTCTCTTAGCGGTTTGCAGAGTCAGCCTCTTGCCCCCAACGATCTGGGTCCTCATTTGACCCACCTCGGAAGGACGGAAGGATGAGTCGACCTTGAGCCTGGTGGGATTCGATCTGCCAAATTACAGGCAGCCGGCAGTCAGCAGAAGTAGCCTGTAGTACTGCCCTCTAACCACTGCGCCGCCACAGTAAAAAGACCACTTCAAACGATGCAGGGCCAGTGCTGAGGCCCTGATACAACTCGCGTCTGTCCAGCCACCCCCCTCCGTAAGGTCCATCTGCACCCAGGCCCGACCGCAGGCAGACTTTGGGGCCCACTCAATGGAGAGAATCTACAAGGGCACCCTGGGGAGAGGGGTTGGTGAAGCCTCCGGTTGTCCCCCCACCCCATTCAAATGGTGAGGTGGGGGGAAGAAAGCAAGGAAGCCACTGGCCACCTCCTGGCCGAGGCCGAGGTGGGGGCAGAGGCCTTAGCAGGAATAGAATAGAATAACAAGAGTTGGGTGGGGCCTTGGAGGTCATTTAGTCCAACCCCCTGCCTAGGCAGGAATTCGGTGCCTATCAAGTGGCGCTTAAGCCGTAGGCATTGCACAACTTTTTCTCTGGCCACATTCCGACCTGTTTCAGGGGTGGGGGTTCTTCTCCCCACTTCTCCCTGCCCTTCCCATCCCGCCCCCCCCAGCCCCAGTGTAGAAGCAGGAAGGAAGATGGGGGCAACCTTGTTGAGGGAAAGGATGGCGGACACTGCCCGGAGGGAGAACTCCAAGACGATCAGAGCGGCTACCCGGTGCCCCACCATGGTGAAGATGGCCGTCAGCACCACGAGATGGAGCCGGTCCAGGAAGGGCCGCTGCTGCCGGAGCTCCTCCTTCTCCTTCAGCCTGTCGGGGTCACTGGAGAGGATGACGGGAAGTGGGGGGGAAGTTAGATGGATCTACGGGGCAGCCAGGTGAGCGCCCCAACCCCTGTACGGACTCCGGGACTCGGGCAAGGGTCAGCTGTCAGCCATGGGAGGTGCCCAGGGGGGCGGAGGGCCAGGGGTTCACTAAGATTCTGCGCAGTTCGGAGAACCCCAAATCCCACCCCAAATCCCACGCCCCTCCCAAGAGCATCCACGTGGCCAGTTTTGGATGCAGGTTAAGGCAGGGCGTGCGTGGAGGCTCAGGGAGGGTGGAAAACATGCCCCCCGGAAGTTCGGGAGCCTCAGGAGCCCGGGGAGGCTGTTTTCGCCCTCCCGGAGGCTCAAGGAAAGCCTCAGGAGTCCGGGAAGGGTGAAAGCGTGCGACTCACCATGGTGCAGGAAGTGGACTAGGCCGCACCCACCGTGGCCACGCCCACCCAGCCACCGGGCAGAGAACCCCTTGCTACCGTCCCCACCCCCACCCCAGGGACCTCCCAAGCAGGCCACTCACTTCAAGCACTGGACATAGAGGTAAATCCTCATCAGGCTGCCCAGGATGCAGACGGCACAGGCCCCCACCAGCCCTGCAAGGGAAGCAGAGGTCAGCCGGGAGGGAGGGAGGGGATGCGGGGAGAGGGAGGGAAGGCGTAGAGGTGTGTGGGGGAGGGGGGGTATGAGAGCTCACCCTGTAGGAGGGAGTCCACAAGGCTGCAGGTCCATGCCAGCGGGAGGAAGCCCTGCACCCAGGAGAGCATTGTGGCCCGCGCTGCGCCCAGGTTCGTCTCAGTGGCCTCCCAACTGTCGGCACAGGAAGGACCTTGAGCCCGGAGTGAACAAATAAACGGGGGGAGGGGGGGAGGAGGGGGGAGGAACGGCCGTGGGCAGGCTGGCTCAGCCTTTTCTGCCTTGGGGAAGGAGCAGCAGCAGCAGCAGCAGACGGAAGGCAACCTCCGCCGCCTCCTTCGCTCGGGGCCCATCCAAGGCTCCGCAGGCTGGGGGTGATGTGGAGCCACAGGCCACGGGAGCTTTGCTCAAAGTTCTTCCCGCCCGTGGCAGGAGCCGTGGACAGCCACGAGGGGAAGCAGGAAGGGCTTCCTGCACGGGTGGGGACAAGGGCGAGGAAGACTTCCCCAGCTCAAGAGGGAGAGCGGTGGGGCCAAAAGAGCAGCCCAACCCCCCCCCCTTTTTGCAGCTGTTTCGGGCAGAGCAACCACTGAACCGGACGCACTAAGCAGGCAATCAAACACGTGTGTGTGTGTGTGTGTGTGTGTGTGTGTGTCTGTGTGTGTTCCTTCCCGGTGCTCTGAAAACAACAAAAGCACTTGCACCCTCGGTCCGAAGGTCCACAGCCGCCTTCCGTCCCAGTATTTGTGAAACGCCCCTTCAAGAGACGCCTTGGACAGGGAGCGCCATCGCTTGAGACTTTGGGCTGCCATTTTGTCAGAAAGGGTGTCGGGGTCTCCCGCTTAGGCGGGGGAGGGTCGGACTAGATGACCTACCAGGTCCCTTCCAACTCTGGTTTATCTGCTATAAGGAAGTGCTGCTCCGTTTGGCTTCCCTCCCCTGGAGGACCAGAGAGCCGCCCGGCACGAGCCACAGGTCAGGCCTCCTGCCAGGGGGTGGGGTGGGGTGGGAGGAAGACACGTGGGGTCCAACGGAGCCCCTGCCAGTTTGCAGGCTCTTCCTTTCCCTGGGCAAACTCCCAAGCTCATCCTTCCTCCGTGCCCCCCACCACCCACCCACCCACAGGAGCCATCCCTCCGGCCAGGATCAGCCCCGAATGGGAGGCTGACTCTGCCCCGCCGAGCGGCTGGTCCAGCGAAGCGGGGAAGCTCACCCGCTGCCTCTGGGGGTCCTCCGGACCCATTTCTACCCCCTTCGGCCGCTTGCGCTGGCCCCCCTTTTGTGGGGGGGGGTGTGTATTTCTGAGTGAGGAGCCAGAGTGGCTGGCAGTGCGGAGTCCACACAAGGGCTGCTCTCTCGTTTGTGGAAATGGAGCCTTTATTAGGTATTATTTTTTTACAGAAACAAGAAACGTGGGATGCGCCTGTAGCCCATTCTTGGACCTGGTCCTGCTGCAGCGCCAGGCCAGGTGGGGTGAGGGTGGGGTGAGGTGGGGGGTCACAGAGGAGGTCCAGGGCCATCCAGTTCAGGACGGCAATAATTCTCAGCCCCGACCTTCCTGCACCGCTGAACTTTGGGCCCTTGGACCCGGCACCTCGTCCGTTTCCCAGCGGCTTAAAACCAAACCTGGCTCATTTCGCCAACTCAACTTTGCCCGGCCAACAAGGCAATGGAAGAAGATGCTTCCGGGGAGCGACCCATAAATCTGGGGGGTGGGGGTGGAAGAAAAGCCCCCCCCCCCCCCCTTTTCCTTTCCGTGGGGGGTGCGCCGTCTACTGCCAGTCTTGGGCCACTGTGGCTTCCCTGCCCTTGCCGGAGACGGCCCTGTTGGGACTGGCACCTGGGCACGACTAACCCCAGTGATGGTTGCAACCAATCCCACCTGTGCTCCAAGCTCATCCCTTCTCCTGGATCCCCAAAGTCAGAAGGGGCAATGGGGCCACTCCCAAGCTCTGGGCCTGCCTCCCTCCTAGGAGTTTTGGTCACCACACTATAAACAAAAAGGCTGAGACTCAAAAAAGAGTGCAGAAAAGAGCAACCAGGATGATGAGGGGACTGGAGGCTAAAATATATGATGAACGGTTGCAGGAACTGGGCCTGGCTAGTCTAGAAAAGAGAAGGACCAGGGGAGACAGGAGAGCAGCCTTCCAGTATTTGAAGAGAGTGGTGGAAAACAAAAAAGAGAAAGTGGGAGAGAAGAGAAAGAAAGAGAGTAAGTGGAAGAGGAGAGAAAGGAAAAAGAGGGAGAGGTTAAAAAGTGAGAAAGAAGAGAAAGGGAGAGAGGAGAAGAGAAAAAGAAAGGAAGGAGAGAAAGAAAGGAAGGGAGAGAAAAAGAGAGCAAGTGAAAGTGACTGGAGGCTAAAACCTACGATGATGAACGGTTGCAGGAACTGTGCATGGCTAGTCTAGTGAAGAGAAGGATCAGGGGAGACAGGAGAGCAGCCTTCCAGTATTTGAGGGGCTGCCCCAGAGAGGAGGAAGGGGGTCAAGCTATTCTCTAAAGCCCCCGAAGGCCAGACAAGGAATAATAATGGATGGAAACTGACCAGGGAGAGATTCAACCTGGAAATAAAGAGAAATTTTCTGACAGGGAGAGCAATCAATGAATGGAACAGAAGTTGCCTTCGGAAGTTGTGGGAGCGTCATCCCTGGAGGCTTTCAAGAAGAGACTGGACTGCCCTCTGTCAGGAATGGTGTAGGGTCTCCCGCTGGGCTGGGGGGGGTGGGGGTGGACTAGATGACCTACAAGGCCCCTTCCACCTCTGATGCTCCCTTCACGCCCCCCCCCCCCCGCCACTCCAGCAAAGGAGAATTCAGTCTTCCCAAAGCAGGACTTACTTTTCCTTCTCCTCTCTCAAGAATCCTCTCTTTCTCTCTCTTTTCCTCCTCTTCCTTTCCTCCTTCACCTGATCTCTCTCTTCTGTGCAGAAAACCGGCGGCTTCAGCCCCGAGGGGAAGAAGGACCAGATGGATTGCCACCTCTTCTTTCCGGCCCCCGCCTTTCTGACTCTGGCCCTGGAGTGTGGGTCAAGTGTGTGTGTGTGTGCGTGTGTGTAGGGGGGGGAAATCTGGGGGGACGACGAGGCAGGAGTCAAATCCAGTCTGTCCGCTTGGAACTGTCCTTTCTCAGGTGGGTGAATTATTTGGGGCCGACCCCACCACACAAACACAAACACAAACACACACACACACAAAAAGGGGCGGCCCGTGGTTGAAACTTCCACTTTGGTCGAAGGTTGCAACTGGCTCTGCCGGCGTCCTTCGTTGTCCGGCTGCCCTTCACTGCTCCGTATCTGGACGCGCGCACACACACACACCCCGCAGCTGCTTGTCCGAAGGTCACAAAACGGGACAGTGAAGAAGGTAGAACCGAGGAAGCTTCTTGGATGAGAAGTGAAACGTTTTCAAAGGGAGGGGGGGAGAAAAAGGACACACACACGCGCGCACAAAAAAGTAAGTCCAGTTGCCTTCTGGGAGCATCATAACCCGGATGATTGGAGAAATCTTTGCAGAGGTTTGTCTGGAGCGGCCGAAGGTCTTCTGCTTGAACGGGGGTGGGCGTTGGACTAGATGACCTCCAAAGTCCCTTCCCAACTTTGTTTGGCTGTATCCTGGTGCTCCAGCTGCGGGGGGGGGGAGGGGGCCCCCGCCCCCCCCGGCCGTCCTGCTCTCTCAGGGGCCGCTGGAGGCTCCTGAACGGCTTGCGGGGGGGTGGGGGGGTCACCTGGTGGCCTGCCACCAGGCGGTGAACCTCCTCAGCTCGTCCCAGAAAAGGAGGCTGAGGACAGTGTGCGGCCCCAGGCGGAGGTAAGCGGGGCCGAAGCCCTTGTACAGCGCCAGGACGCCTTCCTTCCCCGAGACCCGCACGACGCAGTCGAAGAAGCCGCGGTAAAGCTTGCCCTGCATGGGAGGAGGAGGAGGAGGAAGAGGAGGACAGGGCAGGTGACGGGGTAACCTCTCCCGCAACCGCCCCACGCCCCCAGCCCCAAAGGGGGCATCGAGCCCCTCCGTCGAAGCTCACCGTGCCCGTTTCGTCCACCGGCTGGTTGTAGAGCCGCGTGCTGACCACGTCAAAGGGAGTCATGGCCACGGCCACGGCCACGCTGCTGACCATGCCCCCAGCAAGGGCCACCATCCAGCTGCCTTCCTTGAACCACTGGGAACCGGAAAGGCAGAGAAGAAGCGTTTGGGGCCGAGGGCCAAAAACCAAAAGTCCAGGGTCCGCAGGCCGCACCACGGACGCTTGGGAACGGGCCTGGGGGGGAAGCGGGGTGGCTGGGAAAGGCCGAAAGGGGCTCCGCTAGCTTCTGGCCTGGACGAAGTTGCTGTGGGGGGGCACAAGGGGCTCCCCAAAGCTTCTGGCTTGGACAAGCAGAGCCTCTGCTGCTGGCATACACAGATCTGAGCAATAGTGGGATTCAAATTTGTTTTTACTACGGGTTCTGTGGGCGTGGCGTGGCTTGGTTGGGCGTGGCAGGGGAAGGATATACTGCAAAATCCCCATCCCACTAACCTGCTTTCCAGCTCCGTTCTCCTGGGCAGGGCAACCCAAGGAGACCCAGCCGATCAGCTGGGACTCGATGGGAGGCAGAGAAGAGATATGGGGTTGGTGGAGCCAGTCAGAGGTGGGATTGGCCGGTTCTCCAAACGATTCAAAATTTCCGCTACCGGTTCTCCAGAACTGGTCAGAACTGGCTGAATTACCACCTCTGGATCTGAGCATGTGGGGTGGCCAACTCTTTGCCCAGCCTCCGATTCGCCCGTGGGAGCCTCCCTTTCAAGGGACACACACACAGAGGGCCTGCTCACCTGCTGCCTTGCCACCCACTCCCTGGCCGAGGCGAAGGTGGCCAGCTGCACCGAGGAGCCCACTGTGACGCGAGGCACCGCTCCGCTCACGCCGCGCCACAGCCCCAGCAGGCCCTGCCGCTTATAGATGGCCTCAAAGGCCCCGGAGATGTTCTGCAAAGCGGCAGGAGAAGACAAGCAACTTAGCCCGGCGCCCCACGTCCTCGGGCCAGGGAGGAGGGGAGGGCTCCCTGAAACAGGAGGAGCTTAGCCTGCAGGATCCTCCCCTCCCCTGCAGGGCCAACTCCGACCCCAGAAAGGAAAACGGCGTCGCGCTGATCCCGGCCCTGTTCAGCAGGGGCCACGCAACGGAGCCGGCTGGGCAAAATGATCCCTCACCAGGGAAGCTGGACAGACAAAAGGGTGAAAGGAGCGGACTCTTTGCCGAGGCCTGGGATGGCAAACCTGTGGCACGGGCACCAGAGGTGGCGCCTTCTCTGGGGCCCATGAGCCGTCACCCAACCTCAGCTCTGCATGGGCCTACTTGCCTCCTGCCAGCCAGCTGGTCTTTGGGGGTCTCTGCTAAGCATGCAGGAAGCGGGGGGGGGCAGATTCAGGGGACGTGTGTGTGGGAGGCACGTGCATGTGTGTGGGGGGGTGCATGCATACTGCATTTTGGGGATGTGTGCGCACACGCTTTGGGCACAAATATTAGCCAGCACTGGCCTAGGATGCTTAGTTGGGTGTGTATGTGTGCACGTGTGTGTCTGCTGTGAGGTGGGCTGTTTGGGGGGGGGGGGCTTTGCCGGCAGCTGACGCCTCGGCTACGAGGAAGCTTCCATCCCGGCGTCGGCTGATGAAGAGCCGGCTGGGCTGAGCGCCTTTCAGGCAGGCCGGCTAGCCATCCTGGGCCACTGCAGAGTGGAGAGTGGGAGAGTTTTGCCAAGCCAGCGCGTTGAGCTTCCCTCTCAGGTTGGGGACGGACAGCCGATGCAGCCGCCGTGGTTTGCCCTGGGGACCGGCCAGCCTCTCCCTCCCTCTTCCTTGGCGGTCCCAAGGCCTCCCCCGGCCTCCCCCTGCCGGGAAAGAGGCTCCCGCCAAGGCCTGGAGCTGCTCAGGCCCGGCAGGAGCGCCGTGACCCCTGACACGTGCCGAGGCTTTCCGCCAAGGCAGCCCTGGGCAGAGTCCTGGACCAAGGAAGGCGAGACCCCCTCGGACCTTGTGGTTGTGCTGGTGTCCCACTGCCATGGCAGAGGCCGTTTGGGCTTGGAGGTGCGTCTTGACCTGCAAAAGGAAAGGAAACGGGGTGAGGCCAGGACCGCAGAGTGTGTGCGCGTTTGTGTGTGTGAACCAACTCTCTCTTGCTGACTTGCACCCGGGCCTCCTCCTCCCTCGGCCTGCACTAACCCTTCTGAGGTCACTTAGGGAATGCTTTGGCGTTAGATAGATAGATAGATAGAGAAATAGATAGGTAGGTAGGTAGGTAGATAGGTAGGTAGGTAGGTAGGTAGGCAGATAGGTAGGTAGGTAGGTAGGTATGTAGATAGATAGATAGATAGATAGACAGACAGACAGATAGATGATAGGTAGATAGGTATGTAGATAGACAGATAGATAGATAGGTAGGTAGATGATAGATAGGTAGGTAGATAGATAGATGATAGGTAGATAGATAGGTAGGTAGGTATGTAGATAGCTAGATAGGTAGGTAGGTAGGTAGGTAGGTAGGCAGGCAGATAGGTAGGTAGGTAGGTATGTAGATAGATAGATAGATAGATAGATAGATAGATAGATAGATGATAGGTAGATAGATAGGTAGATATGTAGATAGCTAGATAGATAGGTAGGTAGGTAGGTATGTAGATAGATAGATAGATAGATAGATAGATAGATAGATAGATAGATGATAGGTAGATAGGTATGTAGATAGATAGATAGATAGATAGGTAGGTAGATGATAGATAGGTAGGTAGATAGATAGATAGATGATAGGTAGATAGATAGGTAGGTAGGTATGTAGATAGCTAGATAGGTAGGTAGGTAGGTAGGTATGTAGATAGATAGATAGATAGATAGAAAGATGATAGGTAGATAGGTATGTAGATAGACAGATAGATAGATAGGTAGGTAGGTAGATGATAGATAGATAGATAGATAGATAGATAGATATTTTTCTTCCTTTCTCAACTTTTGGCGTTGGTGCCTTAAGCACGTGCTTCGTCTGCTTAAGGCTTAACACATCCCTGTACCCACAGAAGCACCCCGGGGAGAGGGGAACTGCCTTAAGGCCACCCCCAAAGAGGCACCTCCAGCCTCACCAGAGCTCGTAGCAGGGGCAGCCCTGGCTGTCCTCTTTGGAGATGACCGGGGGTGCAGCCAGGAGATGCTGCCCCCTCCCTAACCTCCAGGCCTGACCTGCAAAACAACGGCCTAAAAAAGCCAAGGCTCGGCCCAGTATAGGCACCATCAGCACCACCAAGAGGCTTACCAAGTAGGCTGGGCTGGCAACGAAGGCCCCCAGGGCCCCGGCCACAGCTCCGGCTGCCATGGTCCCTCCCGGCTGCTGGGTCAGGCCGAGGTCCTCCGCGTGGGAGTAGAAGCCAAATCGCGTGCCGTTCATCAGCCCCTGGTACAGCAGTCCGGCCGCCAGTCCTTTCTGCAGGCCCCAGAGTCCGTCGGCCCGTCGGACGGCCACCATGGCCTGCAGCACCCCTCGGTAGTGGCGAGGGTACGAGCCTCGGGCGCAGAGTTCCCCCTGTAGCTGCAGCCGCGTCTTCACCACCTCCAGCGGGTTGGTGAACACGCAGGCCATGCAGCAGGCCGCGGCACCCAGGACAAAATCCACCTGGGGGGAGAGGGACGGCGCTGCCGTGCGGCGGCGGGGGGAAGGCTCCATGGGGCGGCTGCCAGCGTCCCGGGCGGAAAGACGGGACACGGGGCCTCCCCACCCAAGCAGGAGCCTTGAGGAGGCAGCCCCGACAGGAGGAGAGCAGGCCTCTTTCTCCCCGCAGGGCCCGGGCGGCTGGCATCGATGCCCGCAACAGCCAGCCCAAGCTGCGTTGAGCCCTGCCCAGCATTGGCAGCGCTGGCTCCCTGCTCCAGCCCGTGCTGCGCCTCCCTCTGGGCGAAACCAGTTCAAGAGAGGGGCCTTTATTTGCTGCTCCACCAGTGGGCCGGGCAGGCGAGGGAGACAGGTGGATAAATGTAGGAGAAAGGTCAGAGCGGCGGCTGGGTCCACCCACTGGGCAAGGGCCACCCTTCCACACAGGAGGCCTCCTCCTTCTCCTCCTCCTCCCTCTCCCTCCGGCTCCGGCTCCCAAACCTGCTGGCCCCACCCACTCCTGGCTCAAGGAAGAGGCTGTTCCTGGAAGCAGCCCCACCTCCACCCCCCTTTCCCCTCCCTCATGAGCGACAGGACGGCTCTCCTGACATCCTGTCGGGCAGGACTCTCAAAAGCACACCGTCCTCGGGCAGGAGGAGGGGTCTCTGCTGCCAAGGACTGACCCCCCGCGGGGGCAGGAGGGGGGAGACCAAGATAATCCTGGGGGGTGGGGAGCGGACCGACGGACGAGGACAAGGGCTTGGCTTGGACGGGCAGGGCCTCCCCCGCTCGGCAGACGGATCCGAGCACCCGGGCGGCCAACTCTCACCAAGCCGCAGTTCCAGGGTGCCAAAAGCACTGCCGGAGTTCTGGGTCTGTGGCCCCAGCAGGGAGGACATCCCAGGGGAAGGGCGAGGCTACGGAGGGGCATCACGACGGGTGGAGGGGAGGCAGCCCCTTTCCCAAGCCCGTCAGAGCCACAGGAGGCTTCCCTCCTCCCCGCCCCCGGCTTGCGTTTGTGGGCCACTGGGCCTCGCCCCACGGAAGATAAACTTGAGAGGGACCTTGTGGGAAATAGCTTCTTCTGCGGCTGGGACGGCGCAAGAGGATTCGCCAGCCTCATTACCCGAAGATAGCATTAGTGCTTAGACTTATGTACCGCTTCACAGTGCTTTTACAGCCCTCTCTGAGCGGTTGACAGAGTCAGCCTCTTGCCCTCAACGATCGGGGTCCTCATTTTACCCAACTCGAAAGGATGGAAGGCTGAGTCAACCTTGAGCCGGTCAGGATCGAACTGATGGCAGAGGTCAGAGTTAGCCTGAAATACTGTATTTTAACCATTGGGAGGGAAGGAAGGAAGGAAGGGAGGGAGGGAGGGAGGGAGGAAGGAAGGAAGGAAGGAAGGAAGGAAGGAAGGAAGGAAGATAGCAATAGCACTTAAGACTTGTATACCGCTTCACAGTGCTTTATGGCTCTCTCTAAGCGGTTTACAGAGTCAACGTCTTGCCCTCAACAATCGGGGTCCTCATTTTACCCAACTCGAAAGGATGGAAGGCTGAGTCAACCTTGAGCCGGTCAGGATCGAACTGATGGCAGAGGTCAGACTTAGCCTGAAATACTGTATTTTAACCATTGGGAAGGAAGGAAGGAAGGAAGGAGAGAGAGAGAGAGAGAGAATAGGAAGATAGTTGGGTCCTTGGTGCTGTCTGGGGTGGGTGGTTTCCTTGCAGATGTTTCATGACCCAACTAGGTAACATCATCAGGGCTGGAAGGAAGGAAGGAAGGAAGGAAGGAAGGAAGGAAGGAAGGAAGGAAGGAAGGAAGGAAGGAAGGAAAGGAAAGGAAAGGAAAGGAAAGGGAAGGGAAGGGAAAGAAGGGAAGGAAGGAAGGAAGGGAAGGGAAGGAAGGAAGGAAGGGAAGGAAGGAAGGAAGGAAGGAAGGGAAGGGAAGGGAAGGGAAAGAAGGGAAGGAAGGAAGGAAGGAAGGGAAGGGAAGGAAGGAAGGTAGATAGCAGTAGCACTTAAGACTTGTATACCGCTTCACAGTGCTTTATGGCTCTCTCTAAGCGGTTTACAGAGTCAACGTCTTGCCCTCCACAATCGGGGTCCTCATTTTACCGACCTCGTCATGATGGAAGATCTTGGACACTGGATCTGGGCCAGGCATCTCTGCATGGCATGGCTGGAGGAAGCGGGATCTGAGGAACTGAGAGCCCTGAGAGCAAGAGGCTGAAAAACGTCGGGTCTTTGGAAGCCAGGGACTTCCTGGAGAAGCTCCTACTCATCTCGAGAGCTCGGGGACAAGCGAGGCCCGGGCCAAGCAGGCCGAGCCGGCGGGGAGTCTCGGGCGCCGGAGGAAGCCTCGGGGGGGCACAAAGGGAGGCCGGCGCTGAGCAGGCAGGTAGGCGCCCAAGTGCTGTGTATCGCCAAGTTGCCTTTATTGGAAGGGCTGGCCAGGTGGATCCAGGCCCACTGGGCCACAGAGGCCTCCCCCTGGAAAAAGGCCCCTGTGGGAACACATACAGTACATTAGCAAGTCTCTCGTTCGTTAAAATTAGAGTTTAAAAATAAGAAAAGCTTTAAAAAAAAAAACCAAAACAAAAAAACCCCCAGGCAACTACAACTACTCCTAGGCCGATCGTTTGAAAACTGCAACTAGAACCCAGACCCAAAGGGGTTTTTTGGGGGGGGGGGGTGTGAGATCTGTCTGTGCGCAGAAAGCCCTGTGCGCTGTTGCCGCCCCCTCCCAGCCCCCGAGCAGAAGGACCCTCAACTCCAAGCAGTGGGAGCCACTCTCCCCCCCTCAGGCCAGCTGCCCAATCCCCCCACCAGGGGCTCTGCTGCCAGGGGGCGGGGCGAGAGGAGGGGCAGCCCTGGCGGCTCCTTCCTAGCTCAGTGTGGGTCGGCGGGGGGCATGGAGGGGGCCATGACAGGTAGCATAGAAGCTGAGAAGGGCGAACAGGGACCAGGAAGGGGAGCAAGTCTGGCGGCCGGCCTTGAACCAAAGGAACACATGCGGGGGGCAGGAGGGGGGGGGGCGGGGAAGAGAGGGGTCGCAGGGTGGGCTCTAGCATCTAGAAGACGGACAGCGACCAGCCTTCTGCAGAAGCCCCCTCCCCAATGGCGCCCTAAACCTCGCCATCCTTCTTCACGGCTACTCCGCCGTCCACCGGGCCCTCCCCGCCTGGGAGTGGCGGCCCAGAGATCCTCCTTCCCACTCCCGCTTGCACCCGGAGTCCCGACTGAGACACAACCCACCCGTGGCGCAAACAACTTGTCCTATAAACCACCAGCCCAACCGGTGCGCGAGGCGGAGCCAATAGCAGCGGTAGCAAAGAGACCCCGGGTTCCGGGGGAGGTTCATGGACTGTCCAAGCGAGCGAGGCCCATGCGCGCCCCCCCCCCCCACCTCTGCCTCAGGTTTTCCCCCTCCCCTCCCCGGTTCGTGTGCGCCCGCCGTGCTTCCGCCTGGTGGGATCGGGCCGTTCTTCGTCTCCTGGGAGGCTAGCACCAGGGGTCCCGGGAGGCCCGGCCGCGGCACAGGCTGTCGCTGCGCTGCCACGTGCTGTGGATCAGGCTCAGCGCGTCCTCGCATTTCTTTCGGACGGAGCTACCCTCGAGGGGCTTGTGCAGGAGGTCCACCTGTCGACACAGCGGGGGGAAAAGGGAGTCATGAAGTGTGTGTGTGTGTGTGTGAGACGGAGCTACTGGCCGCCTCCGTCTACAGAGCCAGGCCGCCTGCCTGCCGCAAGACCAGCCCACCTGGTAGGTGCTCTTCCACACAGCGTCCAGCGCCAGCAGGAACCGCTCCAGCTCTGCAGGGCAGCTGAAATAGAGGACCCACGGCGGCACGTAATGCTTCTGATCCTGGGCAAACTCCTAAGGGGGTGGGAGAGGAACGCCACCTGAGACCCTGGTCCTCTTGACGCAGGAGGGCCAAGGGCCCAGGTGGTTTTCAGCAGGTTCTGACCAGTTCTGGAGAACCGGTAAACTGGAAATTTTGAGTCATTTGGAGAACCGGCCAATCGCACCTCTGACTGGCCCCGCCAACCCCATCTCTCTTCTCCGCCTCCCATCGAGTCCTAGCTGATCGGTTGGGTCTTCCTTGGGTTGCCCTGCCCAGGAGAATGGAACTGGAAAGCAGGTTGGTGGGATGGAGTGGGAATGGGGATTTTGCAGTATCCTCCCCTGCCACGCCCACTGAACCGGAAGTAAAACGCTTTGAATCCCACCGTTGAATCCCAAGAGCCTCATTTAACAAGCTGCACCAGACGAGCCCCAGGCCTGGCAAACTTCCAGGGGAGCCCTGAGACCCCAAGGGGGCAAATGCTTCGCCTTCCTCTTCGTGAAGACTGACCAGGAGACAATATTCCCAGCCGGGCTCCGTGGAGACGGAATCCACCTCGGCCAGCTCAGCAGTGGCCAGGGAGCGGAAGAAGCCGGTCTGGCAGTCCTCGTGGCAGGTGAAGAGTTTCTGCTCCGTCAGCACCAGGCAGCAGGGGACGCAGGGTGCGGGGGCCACGCCCTGGGGGATGACCTGGGTGAGAAGGAGGGCTAGACAACCTTTGGAGCTCCCAGAGGGCAAGCACAGGACCGCCCTTCCGGTCACCGGGCAGCATAGGAGCCGCGGGGACCGTCCCCACCCGTCTCCCCACTGGCCCCAATCCCACGGATGACCCTTACCCCTTCCGAGACCGCCTGGCATAAGTACTGCATCCAATCGGCCATCTCCTCTTCGTTTTCTGCGCTTAGCTCCAGGGAAGGACGCTCAGTCAAGATGACCTGGAAGGAGTGGGGCCGGTCCGTGGCGCTCGACCTTCGGCACCCGCCACATTGCTCTCCGCTGCAAGGGACAGAGTTCGCGGCAAATGAGACCGAGGGGGGCAGAGTCGGGGGTGGGCGGGGAGCCTGCCTTGTCTGGGACTCACCCCATATTGACAGACAGCAGCGGAGTGACGTCCGTCCGGTCTGGGAACTGGTACAAGATCCCGTTGCTGCAGAGGGAAGACGGAAACAGCTGCTGGGAAAGGTCCCCCCTCCCAGTCCAAAACAGGAGAGCTTCGAACGAGCACAGGTGAATATTGCCTTGCCAATGAAATGCTCTCTGCCCTCGGGAGGGTAGGACAGGCCCTCTTGTGCTGTCGCCAAGAACCACCAGAGTCCAGACCAAAGTAGCTCCGGGGTTATTACAGTTATAAAAGATGGTTATACGCCAGAAAAGCTGCAGCCAAGGCAAAGGAACGTTAAGAGCAACGGACAGAAAAGGGCATCACTCCAGAAATATCACACAACAAAGACACGGGTATCAGGGTGGTTTGGAATGCAACTATACCTTTTACAAGGAGACCTTTCGTATAGCATGACAGCAAACTCAAAAAAAAAAAAAAAATGAGCCACAAGAGAAGTCATAGGTGATTAAAGATCAGAATAGAATAGAATAGAACAGAATAGA